GGGTTTTGAGACTGGATGAGTTATTCAACTGAAACTTCATTTCTTCACCCATCAAAATGGAGTCACAATAACACATAACTACGTTAAAGGATTGAAAAGCATTACTTGGATTAATAAAAAGAAATTAGAAAACTATTTGCCTCATACTGCTCAATAATGTTAGAAACTAATGCAATTATTACTGATATTAATATTTGCTAGTTTGACTGTCTTCACACACACTTCCTCCACTCCCAGAGCACAAACAGGCCTGAGGGCAGAAGTTAATCATTTATATAAACCCAGGAAAAGCCCATTATGGAGTATTGTACACTGTCTACACTATAATTTATGCTTAATTTATTTTCCCTTTCATTTCAATTTACAGAGTGAATTATTTATCTTATCCAGCACAATTAACCTCCAAAGCACAATCCTCCATTCAATCTCAAACTCATATAAAAAAAAAAAACTGGCGGGTTTATCAAACCCAGATTGGGAATTGGAGTGTGGATAGATATTAGCACACTTGCCCAGCATGTGAAAAACCCTGAGCTCAGGCGCCAGCACCTCAAAATTAGTAAATAAATACATCTCTGGAAAAATAGAGTTTAAGGATTGTTTTCCCAAATATTCTACCCAGTACCATGGATCATTCATTCCAGAGCATCAAAGAGATTGCTGGGCATCTAGAATGTATTGGACTAACAGCCATGCTTCATTCACAAAATTACTAAACTGTGTTTGAGAGCTACACACAGCCTTTACTGGGAATTCTATTACAAACAGTCCCAGCAAACTTACCATTGTGTCTACTGTGAGAATAAGAAGTTCATCACATTGCAGAGTGGTCTCGTCCTACTAAGCCCGAAAGGAGAAATTGCTACTTGTCTTAAGACCAATAATTGATCTACTTATTTGTAGTAAAAATGGCTTACAGCCAAATTTGAAACCGTTTCACATCAAAGTTTGACTTCTTAAATAAATCCCATTTCATATTCCCATTCTTGTTTGCCTTTTGTTTCTACACGCGACATATTTTCTGTCATTCCACTTTCCCATCTGAGTGCTTTCTGGACCCAGTGGCTGTGCTAAAAAGGCTGCACAAGTTGTCTACTATGCAAGTTCAGGGATTTCAAATGACATTATATGGTATAATGCAGCACACAATTTATAATACCATATGTGGCAATCCTGATAAAAAATTTGGAATGAGTTAAATAACTAAAAACTATCTGAACATTCTAGATTTCTGTAAACAATATGTACACACACATATGATTATCTATGCTATGTATGCAAGTGTGAATGTGTGTCCACTGTCTGTTGCTAAAACAAAATACCTAATGTGTCAATTACTTCTCTTGTTGCTGAGACAAAATACCCAACACCCAAAGTTAAAAGCAGAGAGGTTTATTTAGCTCACAGTGTGTAGAGGTTTCTGTCCATAATCAACTGGCTCCAAGACAGGGTGGCAATGCAGACAGGCATCCCAGAGGAGAAATAGTTTGCGGCAGGCAGAAGGCAGCAAAGCAACAAGAGACGACAACAGCTCTTTCTAGCCCTTGTACTTCTCCAGGCTACTTAGGGTGAGTAGCACTCACTCTCTTAATCCTAGAGCCCTGGATCCTAGCACTGCACTATGAATCGGTCCCAGTGCCACGCACTCTAGATCCAGCCACCTCTGAGAAAGCCCACCTATGACTTTATGAGACTTGAGGGGTGGGAGGCATCTAGACACAGATCATAACACTAAGGAATTTACAAAGCATAGAAATGTATTTGGCTCACAGCTCTGGGACACTTTCCCCTAGCAGGGAAGTCCAGGATCATGACGTTGGCAGCCTCTTTGCATCTGGTGGGGGTCTTCCTGCTGCTTCATAGCATAGAGCATCACATGGTGAGTGGAGCAAGTTGGCTCTCCTTTTAAAGCCACCTATGCCTCTGAAGGGGCCCTGCACTCAAGACTCACCTGGCCCCAATTTCTTCCAAAGATCCCATCTCCAAATATCAAGGTGTGAATTTGAAAATTCAGTTTCTAATACTTGAAGTTTGGAGAAAGTCTTCAAACTAGTTGTACGGGAGTGTATGTTCGGATGGCGTGTGTGTATATCCAAACTGCTGCTTGTTCCTGATGTTTATACACACTAGTTCTTCCATATGGTGATCAAACACACTATCTTTGACGTTCACACTACTTTTGTTCACTCACCCAACTTTTGCCTTGTAGTACAAAACAAATGGCTCAGTGTTCAGGGTCTACATCGCAAAGTAGGGTTTAAAACTGCTCACTCGGAATTTACCTAATTGCATCATCTTCATAATTGAATATAAGGTATATCGCAAAGAGCTAATTCTTGATAATCAGGTACCTGTAGTGATTAATAAAGATGCTTTGGCTTTGTTTCCTACAGGAGAGATTAATAACCTGTTCATAAACTTATTTACGAAACAGTGGAGCTACTTGGTTCCAAAGCCTGTATTACTTTCACAAAACCATACCATGCCCTTCTCCTACTTTATCTCATCATGTTGAATATATAGGAAAGATTTAATACTTACATTATTCAAGGGAAAATCAATAGAGGACTTGAGTTATTGTCCAAGCTCACATCTAATAGAGCTAAGTCTAAGATTAGAACCAATTTCTTTGCTTCCTGGGCAATTGCTCTGTTCACGTTTTTCTTTTTTAACCTGGAAACATTTAATGCTAACCTGAGCTATCTGCCCTCCAGCATGAGCTCTTTGAGAAACTCTATATGGAGTTGGGAATATTTAGGAAGCTTCTTACTAAGTGATTTAACAAGTGAAACTTTCCATTGGTTGAATGCTAAAGAAGCACTTTGCGGACAAGAGGGGGGAAAAGATGCTATTTTAAACACAGCTGAGAGATTTTGGGCAAAATCCATCTGGCAGACAATTTCTTCCGTTCACAAACTCATCAAGCACTCCAAATGTGTAACCTATAGGCAAGTTTAATTAAAGCTTGAGAAAGCTCAAAATAACCTGACATTTAAATATGTTATTTCCATTCTCCTCCTATCGTCTGCCGTACTCACAGAGGCACTCTTAGATTCAAATTAAGCTCCCCAGTGCCATCCAGCCCTGCCTAACTACTGGATTGCCCAGTGTTCGAGGGTACAGGAATGTGAATGAAACTGACTCATCCAGTCATTCACTCTGAACAGTAACAGCCATTTCATAGATAGGAAAGTAAATAGGAATTTGGGTAGGTAGTGTGCGAAAGCCTAATTATGATGAGAGAGACAGAGAGCAGATAGTTAGGCAGATGGACAGACAGGATGATACATAAGTAGATGGAATAAAATTAATTTCTCTTACTTCTCTGGCAAAGGCAGAGATCACCTCAGAACCTTAGGACACTAAGGACCCTGGACTGCCCTCCCTAGCCCCTGGTCTTTCATGTGGAAATGAGTGACTAAGTCTCATGCCATAAGGTGCCCTGGTAGGTTTTTTTTTTTCCTCCTTTCTTTCTTCCTTGCTTAGGCTTTAATTGGACATTTTATATGATTCCTTTTTCCCTCCCCTCAGCATAATAATTATACTTATTTTTTAAAAATTTAGTCGCTGCCCTAAAGGTTTCGTTATACATTCCAAACAGAGTACCTCCACAGAACATTGTTCCACCTCATGTGCATGACTGTGACCTTCTAATAAAACATGCTCAGTTCTTCCCTCCCAGCCCTTTCAACATTGTTATCAGTCATTTCCTTTACTCGTATGCTATTGTTGCTATATATGCTACTATTTTATTATTTAAAGTTATCTTTTAGATAAATTATTAAGAATAAGAAAAATAGGGCAGGGGATTTATTTAGCTCAGTGGTGCCACCCCCTCTGCCTTGCAAGCTCAAGGTTCTGAGTTGGATCCTTGGTATCAAAAAAGAAAAAGAAAAAGAAGAAAACTAGAATATTTTACTTTACTCCTTTCTCTTTTCTCCTTTCATTTACTCCCTTTCTCATGTCCTTCATGTAGACTTGAGTTTCTAATCTGTATAATTTTCCTTTTTCCTAAAGACTTTCTTATAAAGCAAGTCTCCTAGAAATGAATTCACTCAGCTGCTATTCTGAGAAAATCTTTGTTTCCCCCTTTTAAATTCCCAGTCTAATAATTCCAATACCTGTGTCATCTGTCTTTCCTGATGCTTGCTTTGTCTCTTCACACTGATTTTTTTTCTTGCCTCAGCACTCCTTGTAATTGTTTATTGTTGAAAGCTAGAAATGATGTTAACAGGTTATTAGCAACTGAGGTATATAGATCTCTAGTGTGAAGTTCTATATTAATGTGGCTAGAAGATGGGGTGTGTTTTGTTTTGTTTCATTTTGTCAGCTTTCGTACTGAGGATGGAACCCAGGGCCTCACACGTGCTAGGCAAATGCTGTACCACTGAGATATATCTCAGCCCTTTTTGTATTTTCATTCTGATATAGGGTCTTGCTAAGTTGCCCAGGCTGGCCTGACACTTTTGATCCTCCTACTTTGGCCTTCTGAGTAGCCAGGGTTACGGGCACAGCCACATTGACCTGGGGTGTGTTTAATATTTGGCATAGCTGTAGGTGCGAGAAGCTTCCTATTCCTCTTGTGTTTGTTTCTGTCTCCCAGGTTGACTCAGCTTCCTTAAGTCCTCTTCTTCAGAGAGCATTTGCCTTCTACTGCTGTGTCAGTTCTAACTCACTATTACACAGATGTGAGAGCAATTTTATGAATATGTCTCAGCCTTTGTTGCGGGGAGGGTCCCTGTGCTATGAGCTTACTAGAGTTTCTGAGCTTCCTATCCACTCATATTGAGACGGCTTGAGGGGTTGCACTGGGGGAAATGCTCTTCCCTCGGGTGGGATAAGGTTCTGGTAAAGTTGTTTGCCCTGAACATAGGCCTTTGTTAAGGAAAACAAATGTACTCTGGGAGGAAATAGTTATAATATTTGCTATTTATTTTTAAAAAGACTTCAGTAAAGGATGAGTGAAACTAGTGAGCAAGACTCCCTTTTCTCTCTTGTAGTCTTCTGGCAACAGGAGGAGGAAACCGTCGAACCACAGATGTAGTAGCCCACGGGTTTGTCAAGCTTTTAACTCTGGACAAGAAGACCCTTCAAGAAATTCTAGTGCATTATCCAGATTCTGAAAAGCTCCTCATGAAGAAAGCCAGGTACAGCTGTTAAAACCCTAATAGAAGTGGACATAGTCGGTTTTACTCTATGAAATCTATGAAGATCAATTGGTTATGACTGTAGTCAACTTTCTCTCTGAGATATGCTTAAATACAACTGTTAAGGAGTGACCCTTGAAAGTTCACGGGTAGAAGGGTAGATTTTGCCAAAATTCTTACAAAGTTACTTGAAACAGGTTTTCTTTCTTGTCTACAGAGTGCTTTTAGAACAGAAGGGTAAGCCCAGAAAGGAAACATCTCCAAGAAAGGGACTTCCTTCTTCTTCACACCAAAACCAGAGACACCAAAATGTTTAAAGCTCTTCTGGGAGATAGAGGAAAAGTAGATCTTGGGAGACTGCTCAAACTGAAGAGAGAACAGACAACTCAGGTAATGAGGCAGAGAGAATGGAGGGTTGTGATGGAGCGAGTCCTGGACTAAGTATACCCAGACCGGTGACTACTCTAATTCCATCAGATAATGGGGTGACGCCGATGAATCTAATGCTAATAATTATTCCTTTGTACACTACATGTACTACTTAAATTATATTCCTACAGCATCATATTTAATACTCATAGTTCTTTCCAAATGGCTTGAATATATATGTATTCATAAATACAGTTGACTCTCAGTATTCATAGGCTCTGTACTTGTGAATCTACCCATCTGTTATAATTTATTTGTAACCACAAATCGATACCAATGATGATTTTGCAGTCATTCTCAAACAAGGGCACTTGAAGACTAGGAACAAAAAGTTTTCCAATGTGTACATTCCACACTGAAGCTGAACAAGGAGACTGTACTTCTTGTTGCACTTATAGCACAAAAGTGATCCCTTTGCCATGCTCTTGGTGCAATATTTTTGCATATTTTTGTGTTCCTTTTTTATTTTTGGTGATTTTACTGTTTGAAATACAATTACAGTGCTGAAATATTATCCAAAGTTCCTGACTGCAAAAATGCTGTGGCATACCTTAGAAAGTCCATGTGTTAGATAAATTTGAGTTATTAATTATAATGGTGTTCTCCATGAATAAAATGTAACAAATCAACAATTCATCAAATTAATTCATCAAATTAAATACACACAAAATGTGCACTGATTAGTTGACAAAAATGTTCTGGCCCAAGGCTCTTAGAAATCTAACTTTATATTTCTCTAGGAGCAACAGTTCAGTATCTGCTAATTCCATTTGTGGGAACTTTATAGAACAAAACTACCATGAGTAATGACAACAGTGTATATATATATGTATAAACACATATAAATATATAAGCCATTCTACCAACATAGTAGTAAATGTATTAATAAAGGTTATTTGTATGTGTACTTCATAAAAGCTTAGGGCCAGAGGATGCATGCATGCCATGTTTATAGCAATACAATTCATAATAACTAAATCTGGGAAGCAGCCTATATGCCTGTCAGCAGATAACCAGATAAAGAAAATGTGGTATATGTATACAATACAGTACTATGGAGTTATTTATAGGGAAATGGATGCACCTTGAAACCATAATATTAAGTGAGATAAATCAGACACATGGTTTCTTTTAGATGAGAAATTCAAAGATAAATAATTTAAAGGGCAAAACAAAATATGGGTAATGCAAACTAGGGAGACAGATCCTTTTCAAATGGGATAGGGATCAAGAGACACAGGGAAGTGGGTGGGAAGGGAGAGCAAAGGAAAGCAGAAAGAATTAAGATGTGTTATGTTCATGTAACAACTCCCCACAATGAATGTAATCATTATGTTCAGCAAACATGTACTAACAAATATAAAAAAGGTTAAAGCCAGAAGTTACCTTACAGAGTTCATTCAAGCCCTCTACATCATCGAAGAAGAAACTAAGATCCACCATAAGAAATTTGGAGATTAGATTTAGTTGCAAGGCAAAAAAATAAAAAATAAAAAAAATACTGTTCAATGTTCAGACTTACCTGCTTACACTGAGCTGCCTTCTAATTCCTAGAAATGTAAAGAAATAATGGATACAATTGAAGACATACTCCTAACTGAAATAAATAAGTCACACATATGTAAATACCAAATAGTTTCTCTAGTGTGAATAAGCTGCAATAATACATAAGATCCTAACAAGATTACTGACGTTGTGAAATGGGAAGAAAGGGGCTAAAGGTGTAGGGAATGTGGGATGGGTAGGGGAAGGGTAATAAGGGAAAAGAAAAAAATGTGAGAATGAAAAGATTGAAGAAAGGGGCTAAAGGTGTAGGGAATGTGGGATGGGTAGGGGAAGGGTAATAAGGGAAAAGAAAAAAATGTGAGATAATGAAAAGATGGAAATAAAGTGCTTGTAGATGGGGAGGGGGGGTGAAGGGAGGGCAGGGACAAGGGGAAAAAATGAGAACCAAGACCTGTCATGTAGGGGTACAAGATCCCAACAATGAATGTAACTGTACTGTATCCCTAAAATGTACCAATAAACTCAATTAAAGCTGAAAAAGCAAATGTAAAGAAATAAATGTTTTCTCTTTTTTGTTCCTATATTTTTTTATTTTCACAAAAAAAAATCTGAGAGCAGATATGAGAAACAGATTTAACTTTTCTAAATATAATCATGTTATCTTTAAAACTTTAGAAATGGATATAAATATTTTAATAGTAAATTTATTGTGATATCAGAAGACTAATACAAGTTACCTTTAGCTTCTACAATTACAAGAGGTGCTCAGAGTGCTGGGCATCAGCTTCCATACATTTATTAGTACGGGAAACTGCTGCTAGGGTAACCTTGGTCATTGAGATTGCTGTACACGCATTTTCAATTTCTTCTCTAAGAGCAGACAGTATAGTGGATTTTTCTGATACGTGACATCCGTTTGGGTCCACCATATGTGGATAAAACCATCTGTTGAAAAACAAAAATATCCTATTATTTTTCTTTTCTTGACAGTTGTATATATTTTTGGCAGAGTCTGTATATTATGAGACCCTGTCTTAAAGAATCAAAAACAAAAAATGAAGAAGAGGAGGAGGAGAGGAAGAAGAAGAAGGAGGAGGAGGAGGAGGAGGAGGAGGAGGAAGAGGAAGAGGAAGAAGAGGAAGAGGAAGAGGAAGAGGAAGAGGAAGAAGAAGAAGAAGAAGAAGAAGAAGAAGAAGAAGAAGAAGAAGAAGAAGGGAGTAAATACTATAAGCCATTCACATTCAAGAGACTAAAATTTACCTTTCTTTTCCTTACATGTAACACTGTGGTAAAAATTAGGAATAGACTCTAAATCAAATGCCTCATTTGTACCAGCACAGAAATCACAATTTCCACAAAAGACATATGAGAATAAAGGCACATATAAGTAAATATGTTAACAAGATTCCAACTTTATCTGTGAAGATTTATTCCTTCAGAAAGTCTCTTTCAAATTTGCCCCAAAATAAGTCAGTAAAAAACAGTGTATTTTTTTACTCTGAAATTTCTACAGATAATACTAAATATAATAGGTTCAAAAGGAATGGCTCAAACACACATGTGACAAGTGGAGAGGATTGGATTTGGGTAATACTTTTTAAATAAAAGATAAATATTTTAAATTTCATCTTAATTTTAAAGCAAAAATTTAAAAAGCAAAAATAAAAGTCTTAAGCATTGTGCCTAATAATTCTATGAGTGTGATGACCAGTAAGAAGATAATTCCTTGCTTCAGTGAGGGTGTTGCTTAGGCCACCTTTGGATTAAAAATGAAAACAACTACTCTCTGAGCAACTGTGAAAAAGAAAAAAGAGAACTCCTTGGCAGGGACAAAAAAATGCAATCTAGACTAATATTGTCCATCAAACCTAACAGCTGAGCTCCATTGTCCGGGACACCAGAAAACTTAGTGAAATGACAATCGGAAGCAAGGCAAACATGATTCCCCTATTCACTTAACTCAGATGATCTTTGGCTTGGCCCTGACCAATGCATGCTCACCAAAAGACTCCTTGTCCTTAATTATTCAATATCAGTTCCTTATAACTGCTTCTTCCAGAAAAAAAAGTGGAAACTCCAAAGGAGAAAGAGACAAAAGAAAAGAAGATGAAGACAAAGGAAGAGGACCAGCAGAGAAAACCCTGGCCACATCCAAAGATGAAGCAAGTTCTATTACCACACAGGAAAAGCCCCAGTCATCTAGAAGGGCAGTTTTACCCAGTGAAAATAGCCGTCAATCTCTCATCATCAGCATGGCTCCTTCTACTGAAACTGAGAAAGAGGTTCTGACTAGAACTCAAAGAAAAGTCTAAGCAATAAATATTTGATTACCTTTAGATAAACTCAGCTAGTTCCCAAAGAGATTGTACCCAGGATTGCAGCTTAAATGAGAGAAAACAACCTTGCCAAGACCCTTGAGAAACCACAGGCAAATCCCAAGCTTAGTTTTTAAGACTTATCTGAGAGTGTAATTTTATGCACTGTAATAAAAACTATTTTCTATTGTCATTTACTCTGTGCAATTGCTGTTTCTTGTCATTGTTTGTAACATTTTTTCCCCTTTCTGTTTTTTTCTTGATGATGTTTCTCCTTTCCATTTTGATTAGCTTGGTCTAGTCAAATCTAGGCTCTGATGTGATTTTTCTCTTGTATTTTTGTTGTATGTAATTCCTGGTATGGAATTGTTAACCTTGACTATATGTTATGGGCACATCAAAATTGCCTTTTACCTATAAAGTGTATGAGATTTTAATAAAATACATTAAAATTTGGATAATTTCCATTGAGATGAGGATATCAAATCAACCTAGAAGCTGGAACAGAAAAGAAAAAGAGATCATGAATGAGAAATCTTGTTTTCGGAACAATCCACTGATGAACACCTAGGGCAGTGAAATGTTGGAAAATTTGTACCCTTTTCCAGAGACGAAGCTTGATATTTTCCTTTCCTCCAACTAAAAAGACAACCATATTTCTAACTCCTCTGGCCCAAGAGTCAGATTATCCCGAACTTTATACTGGCCAAAGTGACATTTCTCCAAATCTTCCTCAAGAGTTTACTTCACTCAAAAGGCAGCAAACGGAAGTGTCTTGTTTCACACTTTAGTAAAACAGTGATGAGGCTAGGAAGGCAGACTGTATACATGTCACACTGACATATCGCCACAATTTGCGGAACCTATATGCACAGCTGTTTACAAAATCTCCAAGTTAATTAAGTGCACTTTAGGAAGTTGTCCTCATGAATCAGCTAGCATTAGCATAATTACCAAAGCTGCATGCTGTGAAGAGGCTAAAAAAGCCAGGCTGCTGTCAGAAGTAATAATACATATAGATTCCATTCTAATAAATGCCATCAGTATATAACGTCAAGTTCTGTATAATAAGGCTATTGTGGAGCCCCAGAAGGTGCTCATTGTAGCAGCACTTTGCTGAGAGGATCTTAACAAACTATATTAACCAAAAAGTCTACAACACAGATGTATTCAGCCAGCCATAAACAAATCAATCATTATAACAAATGTGTCATTTGGTATAATTGCCATTTCTAATACAGTAGTTGAGTATCACAAAATATGACTTTCCGTACAAAATGTTGGTTGGTGTTTTTCAGGATTTAAGGGAATACAGACAATTTTCTGAACAGCACTTACTTAGTAAATGGAAGTTTGTGTGTAGAAAGAATGATTAGAAAGCTCAGGAAGTGGCTCACAATTAGAAAAACAGAATCTTGAACTTGTGAATATCCCATACCTGTAACTTTTTCAAAAATTTATCTCTCCCCCCAAACTATCCTTTGTCAGACAATATCATCTTATTCTGGTCCATGAGAATAAAGTCTAAGAATCAAGAGCTTTCTCATAGTTTAATTATATGGTGTCACCAAATCCTTTTTCTAAGTTGTCTAATTATTCTTTTTCAATCCCAATGCTAATACTTGGACATATTTTCTTTCAGTCCAAATAAAGATTCATTTTCCCCCTATAATCTGTTCCAATAACTGGCCTATTTTCTCAGTTCTTTTACCATAGGAAAATCGGGACTTTCTAAAAACATCTCTTTTCACCATACCTCCATGCCAGAGACTGTTCTATCAGGGTTTATCAGCGATAAAAAACCAAAAGGCCTTTGCATTCAGACTGGAGCTATAACTGGTTTTCCTGGGTCCCCAGCCTGCACAGGGAAGACTCGGGACTCCTTGTTGCTCATATTATATGAGCCAATTTCTTATAGTAAATATTTGTAGATATGAGATTTATTGTGTATTTTTATATATATATATATATAAATTCATTGTATATGAGATTTGTATATTTTAATAATATATAATAGAGCAATATTTGTGATGTATTTTATACTATGTGTTATATAGATAAAAAGATTTCTTGGAAATTGGCTCATACAAATTATGAAGGCTGAAAACCCCACTACCTTTGGTCTGCAGGTCAAAGACCCAAGAGAGCTAGTAGTATATAGTTCTAATCTGAGTTCAAAGACCTGTGAACCAAAAGAGCATAAGTTTGAGTCTAAATTAGAAGACTAATGATGTCCTAGCTCAAACTGGCAGGCAGAGAGAGTGAATTCTTCCTTCCTCCATCTTTGTGTTCTACTCAGGCCTTCAACAAATTAGATGATGGCCATCCACATTGGAAAAGTATCTGTTTTATTCAGTATACAAATTCAAATGTTTATCTCGAAACACCCTTGCTGACACATCCAGATATGATGTCTTAGCTTCCATCTTGGCACCCACTTGACTTGTCAAGTTGATACATAAAATTCACCATCATGGAGACCTCCTACTACTCTTACCAACTAAACCTTACTTATACAAATTTAATTAGCACTACTCTAATCACACCCTCCACTCAAACTTATTTCCTTGCTTTCTCTGGAACTACCACCTGCCTTTCTTCCTCCAGCTCTTTCTACTCTACGAAGTGGTCTCTACTCCATCAATTACCTCTTTCCTGTGCTTCCAAATCACTCACATTTTCTCTCTCCCAACTGCCTCTAAAAGTAATCTATGATATTCTATTTCAAGGAATTATCTTGAATAGAATAATACTTTATACTCATCAAATTGGAGAACACTAGAAAGCAGAAAATAATACCAAATTCTAGAAAATGTGTAAACTGGAACTAGTCCTCCAGCAATACTTAGGAAAATCCTGGCGATACCCTTAGTATATAGCAGTACCACTTCAGAGTCTACATCCCAGAAAGTCTCGCAAGAGGCTTCCAAGGAAATGAATGTGGACAGACAGCGTTACTTGTAGAACAAAGGAATTGGAGGCAACTCTGGTTATCTACCTCTAGGAAAACAGATAAAACAGTATGGTATATGGGAGTGTACATGTGTTTGTAAGGTGGAGGTCTATCCAGAAGTTAGAAGCAATGAATTAGATTTACATACAACATGAACAGATATTGTCTAAATACTGGGTGGATTTTTAAAAAGGAAAAAGAGAGATCTTCCATAATACCTTGCTCACATGCTTCTATAGAGCTCATATGATAAAAAACATCAGGAAACCAGGCATAGTGGTACATGCCTGTAACTCTGCTACTTGGGAGGCTGAGGTAAAAGGAATGCAAGGCCAGCCTGAGCAACTAGTAAAGAATAAAAAGGGTTGGATGGTAACTTAGTGGGTAGGGTGCTTGTCTAGCATGTGTGAGGTCCTTACTGGAAAAAAAAAATGGGCATAAAACTGCAGACCAATAATAGCCAAGTTTACTAAATTGCTGCAACAAAGGAGAACATTCTCCAAAGGAAAAATGGTTGTCCTACCATACACAGGGAAAGACATGGTGTAACAAGATATTTATTGGGAAGGGTAGAAGTTAAAGTGTAAAGGGAGTGATGTTTTAACAGGCTCAAATTAAAGCAAAACTATATGTAAAGAAGTTAACGTTTGAGTGGGGCCAAAAAACAAACTCAGGATCCTGTTTTCTTGGAAACTACTACATTAAGATAAATTGAATGTTGCATCCAAAAAAGCCTTAATCTGAAGTTGTCACCTGACTGCTTTACTGTGTCAAAATGACAGACTCTCCATGCAAATGTGGAATGTTTCAGTCTTGCTGATAAAATTTCAAAGAGCAAAATTTCTGACAATCTATGCTTTTAGGAAACAAAGTTTCTTGATCCTAGGTATTTTTTTCTGATTAACAAAAGCTTTTACTGGTTCCAAATTTAAAACATACACAAAAGTATATACATATCAGGCAGTAGTAGAACACTTAACCTAGCATCATGCAAAAATATATATATATATATACACACTTCAGGAAAAGAAAAACTGGTATAAATGTTCTAATACTAAATTTATTGAGACATGTTGAGATTAATACAAGTTATCTTTGGTCTCTACAATTATAAGATGTGCTCAAAGTGCTGGCCATTAGCCTCTAGACATTTATTAGTATGGCAAACTGCTGCTTGGGTAAGCTTGGTCATTGAAATTGCTGTACATGTTTTTTTTCAATTTCTTCTCTAAGGGCCAACAGTGTAGTGAGTTTTCTGTGATATATGACATCCTCTGGGTCCCCTATACATGAGTGACATCATTTGTTGAAAAAACATCATATTATTTTTATTTTCTTAAAGAGAGTGGTACATTGGTTCACAAACTTATTTCTTTCCATGACTCTGGTTGCAAACTGAATTGGATGAGAACAGGATCAAATTTCCCCATAAAGTCAACATTGAACCTAACTACTGAATTTGATTCAGTTCACCAGAACTGTGAGAAATTTTTCTTTTGTTGAAGCCACAAGTCTGTGGCAATTTAATATGGCAGCTCTAGCAGGCAGATATAGTTAATTTCATAAACTATGGTGCAAAAACCTGTTGGTTGGAGAAGGAAAGGAGAGGGTGATGGGGTTTCAAGAGGCAACAAGTGACAAGAGGTCACAGAAGTGTGAAATGGCAGCTTCTTGAAGAGCAACATGGTGGAAATTTTAAATTCCAGCCTCATATTTATCATTTCACTGGTAAGGACATCACAAACAGAAAGTTCTCTACAACTTTAACACAGTGAGGCACAGGAGTTGAAATCTGAATTCAACCCCGCCAGAGATGTTGGCCACATTTCTCAACAGATCTTAACAGATTCATTACTTTTCATAAAACCTCAGAATATTATGTCTTCTGGTTCCAAACAGACTCCAAGCCCAGAACCCATTCTATATAATATTAATTTACAGAAAATAAAAATGTCAAATATTTACAAAAATGCTAAAGTATGGATGGGGACATATTTTTCCCTATGAGTTCCAAAAAAATCTGATTTTTAAAACTTTAAGTTGATTTCATA